TACTGTAATATGAAATGATGGACTAGCTAGCCTATGTGGTCATGTCAGCATCCTTTAGCGGGCTGGGTTGCTAACTGGCATGCACATCAGAAACTTGAAAATTCCTACTTTGGTCTGTGAAGCTGAGTTGTTGACAAATGGTTACCGAACTGCTCATTCACATATGTATTTTCCTAATTAAAGGATGATTCCTTAATGTTTCCTTCTCATGTAAGGGTAGGATTTCAAGATTGAGATGATGTGAAGTTGGCAAAAAAATGCAAGATGGAGGGAAAAGGGCTTAGTCAAGCACTGTCAATAATTTAGTCAAGGAAGAATAGGAGTATCTCATGCCTTGCAGGGATACTTAGAGATGAAGTTACGCTGTCTCTTTTCTGGTGGTGCTCAAGCATCCTGCAGCATGTTCTCATTTTCTATCCTAAGGTTGGGATTGGGTTCCATTAGAGGATAGCAGGCGGGTTCTCTCCTTTGCTGAGCCTCTGCGCTGCAGGACTCCTCCGCTGCCGCCGATGCCTCCACCATCTGCTCGGTCGCCCCACTCGCACCTGTCGCCCCCACCCTCAGAGCGCCTCGAGTTTTGGCGGGTGGGGGTCCCGTGGGGCCGGCTGTTCTTCTCATCTGGGAAGGGATCAAAAGAGAGAACAGGAAAGTTACTCTTAATGTACACATTAAAGCTCAATACTTGTCAGAGAGGTTCTCAAATGGTGGCAGCCTGAAATTATTTTCTTTATACTGTTTCTTTTTTTATGACAATTTCTTGACAAAGAGAATTGAGAATTTAAGCTGTTTACAAACAGAAGCAACTAAGAAAGCTTTGCAAAGGTGAAGCATGTTCATTGATGTTCCAGTGACTAAATAAATAACAGTGTGTAAGCAGTCTCACCACACAGGACTTGCACCAGTGGCTGATCATGAGAGCTGAGAAGTTGAGCTTGGATCGTTTCCACGACTCGTCTGAACCTGCGACTTGGGCCTGAAGATGCACCAAGACACACACATGTAAGATTCAACGAGTCTGCTGCTTCCTTAGATAGAGAACTTCACTAATTGGCTTTTCTATGTATGTGAATGTTTCTGTAAAGTGCACTGAGACAACTTTGTTGTGATATGGCGCTGTATAAATAAACTGAATTGAATTGAATTAAGACAGTGCTGATGTGGTTAAGAAATTGAATTAATATTGTTATTGTTCAAGGTCTCTCTTGCAAATGAGGCAATTGTGTTTCAACGAGACTAGCCTGTATAAATAAAGAAAATGAAATATGACGGAATCTGAATTTCAGTGCACTTCTTGCAAAACCTGTAGAATCGCGATTCTTGACAGATGAACAAACTTTGAAAAAGCTTACCCCAAATTAGAGCTGTCATTTCTAATCTGGGCCCACGCCCCAGCTGGGCCAAAATAATGTGCTGGATGGGCGGGCCGGGTCGGTGTCGGCCTTTTGATTGCGTCTGCGGATGCGTGCAGCTGAAGATCCAATTGGGATCACCAGCCGCGCACGTCCGTTTGACCACGCACTGACCAGCCGGTTGAAAGAGGTAACAAAAAGTCCAGATGGATCACTGCCGGCGACCCACCTGAAGCTTAACTGGACTCAGCTGCTGCGTCAGCGGACGCGTGCAGCCGATGCCCCAATTTGGATCATCAGCCACGCACGTCTGCCGACCATTAATAACTATAATATTATAATAACTATAATAACCTGCTGACTCTTGATAATAAACAAGAAATCTTATATATTAATCTCTTTGCAGAAAGAAAAGCTTTGCAGAGAGTGGTGAAGGCTGCACAGAAGTCTGTTGGAGTCAGTCTCCCCACCATCACAGACATTTACACCTCCAGATGCAGGAAGAGAGCCACCTGCATCATGTAGGACCCCACTCACCCAGCACCCACACTCTTTTCCCCGCTCCCATCAGGAAGGAGGTTAAGGAGCATTAAGTGTAGAACCACTAGACTGAGGAACAGCTTCTACCCTGAGGCTGTTAGACTCATGAATCTCTAACCAGAATAATCACTGTGAAAAAAATCACATCCTGTTGCTGCTGATCTGTTTCATGTTGCTGCTGATCTGTTTCATGTTGCTGTGTTCATACGTGCTCATCTGCTCACACAGACTCATGTTCATGCTGCTGTTTAACGTAATATTTTTCTGCTATTAGTGCTTAGTGTATTTTTAGTTGATGGTTTTCTTAGTTCATATGTTAGATGTTATTACTGTTTTTCTTTTACATTTTATTGTTGGATGTAACTGGGACCCTGTGTACATAATTTCATTCCACCATATGTTCCACATGTGGTGCGAATGACAATAATGAATCTCTGACTCTGACTTTGAACATCTGCAAAGAAATAATCTGTTTGAGGAGTTTCAGTCAGGGGTTTGAGCTCACCACAGCACTGAATCTGCACTGGTGGAAGTTACTCATGATATTCTCATGGCGTCTGACAATGGACAGGTGTCTGTACTGGTCCTGTTAGACCTCAGTGCTGCATTTGATACAGTTAATCACAATATTCTATTACATAGGCTTGAATATGATATTGGAATTACAGGAAGACTCTAAATTGGTTTAAATCATATTTATCTGAAAGATTCCAATTTGTAAAAGTAAATAACGAATCTTTGTCATACACCAAAATTAGTCATGGAGTTCCTCAGGGTTCAGTACTTGGACCAATGCTCTTTACCTTATATATGCTTCCATTAGGTAAAGTTATTAAACAGCATGGGATAAATTTGCATTGTTATGCTGATGATACACAATTATATTTGTCCATGAAACCCAATGAATCCAATCCGCTACTTAGACTACAAGCATGTCTTAAAGACATAAAAACCTGGATGACCCTAAATTTTCTGCTTTTGAATACAGACAAGACTGAGGTTTTGGTTTTTGGACCTGAGCATCTTAGGAATTAATTTTTCAGTCTTTCACCCTCCTTAGATGGCATTAATTTGGCCTCCAGCTCTAATGTTAAAAATCTTGGTGTTATTTTCGATCAGGACATGTCTTTTACCCCCCATATTAAAAGTGTTACTAGAACCACCTTCTTCCACCTGCGTAATATCACTAATATTAAACATCTTATCTAAAATTGATGCAGAAAAACTGGTTCATGCATTTTTCACATCTAGACTGGACTATTGCAATGGTTTATCTGGGTGTCCAAATACTACTTTAAAAAGTCTTCGGTTGATCCAAAATGTTGCTGCCAGAGTCTTAACTGGAGTTAGTAGGAGAGATCATATCTCTCCGGTTTTAGCTTCTCTCCATTGGCTCCCTGTCACATCCAGAATTGAATTCAAAATCTTACTTTTAACCTACAAAGTCCTCAACAACCTAGTTCCATCTTATATTACAGATCTTCTTTTGGCTTTTACCTCTTCAGGGGTCTTATTGTTGTTCCATATTTTCCTAACAGAGCTCTTCGCTCTCAGACTGCAGGCTTACTTGCAGTTCCTTCGAGTTTCCAAAAGCAGAATGGGAGGAAGATCTTTCAGTTATCAGGCTCCTCTCTTGTGGAACCAACTTCCAGTTTCTGTCCGTGAGGCTGACACACTGTCCAGTTTTAAGACTGGGCTTAAGACTTTCCTTTTTAATAAATCCTATAATAAAGGTTGGCTTGTTATATTGCCATTGGATTAGACTACTAGAGGACAAACTGACCTCATTTTTTAAAAATAAATTGTTATAATTGAATAGTTTTCATTTGATATTATTTCTACCTTAACATGTAAATGGACTGTACTTATATAGCACCTTTCTATCTTATCAAGATACTCAAAGCACTTTACAATACAATCTGTGTCCTCATTTACACATTCATACAGCACTCTGAGCTATATAAAGAATAATCAGTGCTTTATCACATTCATACACCAATGGGACACATATCAAAGGCAATGAGGGGTTCAGTGTCTTGCCCATGGACACTTCGACATGTGACTGCTGGTGAAATCGAACCCCCAACTCTTGCATTGGAGATTGACTGCTCTAACCACTCAGCCACAGCTGCACCATGTGATTCTTGACCTTCCATTGTTTATCTGTTCCTGCTTCCTGTTCCTCTCAAACTCAGTCGGTCAAAGCAGAAAGCTATTTGTCCTGGGCCTGGTTCTGCTAAAGGTTTCTTCCTCATGAGGGAGTTTTTCCTTTCCACTGTTGCCTTCATGCTTGCTCATGATGAGAGTCTGCGATGAAGTTAAACTCAAAGCAGTCTGCTCCTCAGATAAATCATGTTATTAACTTGTTTTTATGTATATGAATGTTTCTGTTCAGTGTCCTGAGATGACTCCTGTTGTGAATTGACGCTATATAAATAAACTGAATTGAATTAATAGGCAAAAATATTGTTTACTGTACCTCCACCTTTCAGCAGCAGGCAATAAGTCATAACAATTTACATGTTTTAAAGTTTAGATTTTGCACCCAGATGACCAAGTGACAAGTTAATGGTCAATTGAACCAAAGGAAAGCTTTACAAAACCTTCAAAACCACAGTTGGTTTCAAAACTGGTGTTGGCTGTTTCCATTCAGTTATATCTAAAAACCGGAGCAAGTACAAAAACAAAACAAAAGTTGTAAAAGAGGAAACACCCATTTAAAACAAGAAAGACATCAACGTGTGAAAATTTTGTTTTTTAAATAACACAAATTGGACAAAAAAATGTAGTGATGTTAGGGGGTGAACAGAAAAGTGTTTTTCTCCTTTTTCAATACAGTACGCCGTGATAAACAAAGAAACAGGTCACATATTCAGTGCAGGCAAAAAAAGAAGGTTGTGTTATCGCATTACCATAGTGACTAATATGCAGGCACGCTCCAAAAATATGTGTAGCTCATATTATCAAGTATAAGTGGCTGTCTTTGTGGCTGGCTGTTGATCAGTGGTTAAAAAAAAGTTGTTTTCCAGTAGAAAGATTGGGCAATCTCTAATCCTGTGGGGTGTCCAGTTTGACTATAAAGACACAATAAACTCCTAACTGCTCTTGTTATGCTTGTTGGAATATAAATGTCAATAAATGACAATGTTTTCAAATCCAAAGTGTTCTGCACTTGCCTGATATGAGGGTGAATGTCACGCTGTAGATTCCTGTCTCCCTCCTGCCCTCCCTCTCTGTCCTCTCTCTGTCCCTCTCGCCCTCGGAGAAGGCGATGTCCACCTGGAACTTGACAGGCTTCTGGAAGACGGAGGGACCGCCGGAGGACTTGTACTCGGCCCGAAAGCTGGTCTGTGAGAGGACGCTGTGGCTGAGAGATGGGATCTGTGTGGTGGGGAGACAAAGAAGAAGCAGAGAGACCGACAGACTTACAAGGCGGGAGAGGTGCAGGGGGGGGGGGGCCCAACGTGTGCATAGGGAAACAAAGGGTGAGGGTGAGGACAGGAGAGAGAAAGAGTGAGCCGTTGGTGAAAGCAAAGTGAGCTATCTATGTGCCACAAGTGAGTAAAATAAAAGAAAAAGAAATACACAAAGAGAAACTGAAATAATGAAAGTAATGAGGTGCCCAGTATGAGAGTGCATGTGAATTCCTTCCCCTCCCCAGGAGCTTCAATACAAACAGAAATGGACAGCGAGCAGCGTGTGAGACGGACCACATCAGATACTCACGGACAGGAAAGCGTGGACGATGTCTGCTTTGACAGAACTCAGAGGTTTGTCTCGGATCACCACAAAGATCTGCTCCTCTTTCTCCAAGCCGATGAAATTCCCAAACCACGACTTCTTAGCCAGCCTTTTGTAAGCCGGATGAAAGAACACAAAAGTGAGACAAAATGGCGAGCTTAGAGTTTTATTCTGAAACTAAAAAGCCTGTGACTTACTCAGGGCTGGATTCTGGTGTTAGACTGGACATGTCTTCTGATGTAGGAACTGAAAGAGACAATTTATTATTGGCATGGAAGATCTAGTATTCATTTAAAAAATGGAAGGTTCAACTAAACCAGTATGGTGGTTAATGAGATATTTTGCTAACAGACAAAAATGTACAAATACTCAGGTTAAAACATTATTACTCTGCCTTCTTCTTTCAACAGAAGGTAATAATTAAATCTGCTACAGCTGGAAGCCAAAAGAAAATCTTACAAAATGTGTGTTGAAAGAGAAAATGAACAATTCACTTGCATTAAAACTGATCAGACTGTTTCATATTTATCCCACACACCACAACAGGAAACCTCAAACACACCTTGTAGTTTACGTCGGTGAAATCGAGGAGAGCCCAGCAGGTTGTTCTTGAAAGAGTTGAGCCTAGTCCTCCAGTGGGCGGGGCTTCCCGCCGCCATGCCGCTCCCCCCTCCCGGGCTTGAGGGCGGGGTCAGCGACAGAGATCCCACCCCACCACCTCCCTCTGCCCGCGAAGAGGACGAGGATGAGGAAGAGGAGGGCGGGGTGGAGGAAGGGTGGTGGGGATGGTGGACGGGGGTGCCCAAGGGTGTGGGCAGCGGAGAGCCCTGGGGGGTGACCTGTGGCACAGAGTGGGCAGAGTTTGGGTAGAGGCTCTTAGTCACTGACTTGAGGACAGAAGACGAAGGGAAGAAAAAGCGAGGGATGGGTGACAGGAGTGGGGAGGGGGAGGGCGAGGAGGAGGATGGGTTGTGTAGAGGCAGGGACTTGATGGGCTGCAGATGGTGTCGCTCGGCGGGTCCTTTGGTGGGCAAGGTCTGGGTCTTTGGGTTGGGGGGAGCTTTGGCCTTGTCTTGAGCGCGTGCTGGACGAGGAGTGGTGGTGCTTCCCTGTTTGGACTCCTTCGTGAGTGGGGAAGCTGTGGCACAGGTGACGTCTGATTGGCTGAAAGTGAAGACGGGGCTCTGATAGGACTGGGGGGTGGGGGTGTTGAGGAGTGTGGGGGGTTGAGAGACATGGAAAACAGGAAAGAGAAGGGATGGAAAATGAAGAAAGGATGGAAATGAATATCATGCTTAATGACAGAAGAGTGCTTTTTGTAACAGTGAAAGTGCAGATTAAGGAGGTATTTTGAATATTTAAGTGCTCTTTGCATGTGAGGGTTTGTGGCTGTGACAGAGTTAAGAATGCACAGGCAAGAGAACTGCAGCCGTGAGGATGAGGAGCAAGAGCAGCAAATTAGGACTTCATTATTTAATCTACTCTTTCAACACAGCTCAAATGCAAGATATGCAATGCATTATGTAAATAATTGGTTCTGGCTTGTGAACAATTGCTTATAGCAGTAATACATGCACAAACGAGAAGTGGCATACAAATAAAGAAAATGAGTGAGAATTTAATGGTGTCATGATGTGACTGGGAACATTGATATATGCAAAGAGCTGAAAGGAGCTGAAATTTTTTAAACGAGTAACTTCAAAATTGCAGAAAAATATACAGCACAATGACCCTAATATTCTATTGCAAAATTAGAGAGGTAATATATTCTGTCAAAAGCAAAACATCCGCTTATATAATAGTTGTATTTATACTACAAAAACCATACTCGTTAATAGAGACGTGAAACGTCAAATGTGAGAAAAAGAATATTGTTTTAAAATGTTACAAAAAAACTGACTAACTGGGTTATCCTAATGTTCTTAGTATCACCGTTCACAGTGATCCTACACTAATGTCAATCTAAAAGGTGTAAATATAAGACGCACATTAGGAAAAACAAACCCTGCTGGTACTGAAAAATAAGAATCAACACAACCACTAGTTCATACTGTATATATGGAAATTCAGTATTTTGTGTTTGAGGTTTATATTATGTTTAAAAATTGTGTGTGGTGGTCAAAAGTTGTCCATCACTGCCTTACCCTGGGGCTGCTGAGAGGGCTGGAGGAGAGACCACTTGACGCTCCGCTGACCGAGCGAGACCTGATGGAAATACTAAGGTTAGATATCACAGGCATTGATAATATTTACTGTGCTTGTACGAACACCGAACCTCTGGCTGTGTGCAGCTGTGTCGAGAGCCCTGCGAGGTGGCGTAGGAGACCCCTGCTCTGTAACACTTAGCACCTCCAAACTTTTCCTCTCTGGACGACAGCGGCCGTGGCGCGTCAGCATCGGGGAGTCGACACGCTTTCGAGGGGGGTCTGCTGAGGAGCAAACCCATAAAAGAGTTTCAGCTTTAGCAGCTTAAACCTGGTTTGGCAACATTGTGTTCAACTTTGTGATATACAAAGCTGATTTAAAACATGGTCGTAGAATCGTATAAAAACTTTTTTTGTTTATTTACAAAAAATGGTGGTGGGTCTTCAAGTTATGTTTGCACCATTGAAAAGTTGGGTTTTTCCACAGGCCTTTTGCTCTCTGTACCATCTGTGATTGCGATAAACTTTGCTTCGTTTGCGTACACAAAATGGTTTCTCTCTCCCAGTTTTGTGTCATAAAAAAATCTGTTACAAACATTGTATTTGGATTTTAATTTTGAGATGTTAAATTATTACAAAATAAAAAAACGGTACCACAAAAACCTATGCACCTACGAAGCCAAATCGGATTATTTTCAATATTTTTTATGTAAATTGCAAATAAAACCAGTTCCCTGTGCATCATAACTAATGTAAAACTGTCAAAAGCAGAACAAAAAGCAACCCTAACTATACAAAAAGAGCTCTGAAGAAGTGGCTTAATGGCTGCTCTCAGATAGATGGAGAAAAGTCACTGTTTTGTTCCTTAACCCTCTTTCTGCCTCAGGGGTCATTTTGACCCAAGTGCAGGATTAAATGAATCCTTTCAGCCCCTAATCACTCACCCACATCATTGCGCGGGGGCAGGTCCTCATCTTCATAACTGGGGTAGCGCTCCTTCCTGTCCAGCAGTAGGTAATAGATCATCTTCTCCTGGTTTTCTCTGATTCAAATAGAGAAGAAAGAAAAGCTTACCTATACAAAAATATATCATTTTAAAAGAAAAGCTACAGATACAGAACACAAACTAGTGTTACAGTTTTTTTGTTTTTTTTGTAAGACACTTTTACTAAGTAGCTTATAAAAAAGGTACAAGATCTGAGCTGATGTGTTTATATTACTGTCTATTAGATGTCTGGATCTTCCAAAAGCTGAACAAATCATGTCAAGTCAAAAAAGCATGTCTAAAGGATGAGCATGTTTATTGCATGGCTACTGCTGCTATACATATTATGTTCCACATGCATCTCAGTTTTTCCAGTTGCTGGATAAAACTGTCCTGTGTGGAGAGAAAAAAAAATTCTTACTCTTCACATTGCAAATCCCGTGTGAGCTTGACTCGGTCTCTGAAACATCCAAGCGAGTGCATGCTGTCCAACACATCTGGGTCCAGCTCAGTCAGCGACAAGATTCGCCTCACACACACTCGCCTGGGAGGAGGCTGCTCGGGAGACGGCTCGTTGCGACCGCCCCTTTGAACACAACACCCGATGAAGCACTTTTTTTTTTGTTTGTTTAACACGCAGGTGTGCAGTCATTTGTAGGAATAAATATGTTGCAGCGTCACTTCATGGGGGGAAAAAGAAGGAAAGGATACTCACAGATACCAGGAATGTTTCTGAATGGCCTCTAGCTGTAAAGAGGTGACAAGGCAGATGGGGCCATTAGTTTCTACAGTCTGTTCACTGCCAGATGGCCACATAGCTGTCATGTGCAAACACTTCACATGAGATCTTTTCTTTCCTTGCTGCACATTTCATCATCTCTGAATATTGAATGCCAAAATGGTAATTTACAAGATCCTTTGTTAGAATTAAGAAGCTGGACTCCAAGTCCAGCAGTGAAAATTACAAGAAAAGTAAATATGTAAATCAGAGAGCTAAAGCTACAAAAACATCTTTAAACTATTAAGAGCAGCAATATGAGATGTTCAGATTGACATACCGAGAGCCTCTTCTCTGGGTTGACCTCTATCATGCCTTTGAGCAGAGATTGGCAGTCCGGGGGGATGAAGTGGGGCATGTGGAACACCCCACTCTTCACCTTTTCCAGGAGCTGGCGTAAATTGTCGTGGTCAAAAGGCAGGGCACCCTGAAAGAGAAGACAGGACAGGAATTAGATTGAAAAAATAGATTTCTATCCAAAGTGCCTGAACCTCATTGTGAAAGTACGAGCGAAACACTGACCACCAGTAGGGCAAAAAGGATGACCCCACAGCTCCACACGTCTGCTCTCCTCCCATCATATTTCTCCCCCTGGTAAAGACAAAATGTCAATTATTGCTTTCTACAAGTTGAACACAAAAATGATTTAGAATAAACACTCAGAGCTCGTTGAACATATTTAGGGGCTTATACGAGATTAAACTTGGCCGTATTTCTGTCAAAAGAAATGCTGTAATCCATTCTAATCCCTACACTTAGTCAAAACCGTGACAGCGGCATTTCATTTACACATTTGGATAATCTTTTGAATGCAGAAAGCAATACAAAAAAGATTCACCCCTACTGCAGGCGAGCATCATAAAAATCAACACAAGTTACAGATTTAATGGCTGCTTGAGAGTTTTTACTTTTTTTTTTTTAATTGATTTGAAAATCCTTACTGCCATCAGTCGGTGTTCAGCTCAAGTAGCTTTTGCTTCTTAATTAATAATTTGTTTAAATCAGTTACTCTTGTTTTGATTTGAGCAAGACACAATGTGAGAGCTTGACTCTTACCCGAATAACTTCAGGGCAGGCATAATGTGGTGATCTGAAACCAAAAGCAAACATGTTGCATGAAACTTTAATATTCTTAGAATTGTTTGGCTTTTGACAGAGGTAGCAGCACGTGCAAAACTAAAACCTTAAAGAAAGTAATAATTTACTTAAGTCTGTCAGTACTGTTGTATTAAATAGAGTGCATGCACTGAAACAGAAATGCACTGGAATAGTGAGAATTCATGCCACCATCTTGGCAGGTGCTACTTTCTGCCAGTTTAGCTGCATACCATGGATTTCTGAGGATTTTATTTTATTTTTTTACTGAGTTAAGGAGTCTAATGTTTCGCCACTATTTGTTATATTTATTGGAACCTTCAGTTCAAAGAACATGGTATTATGTTTCATATGTGAGCGTTGTGTCATATTAAATTATTAGAAACGTGAAGTTTAGTCTTTCTTGCCCATTGCGAATGCCTTTTGATGTTGTCAAAAAATAATTTATTAGTCATAAAATAGATGTGCTTAACCTACTGTATTAGTAAAATCTATATGCAAAACAAAAGTGACTAGACAGAAGTTCAGTTATCCAAGTCTATACTGAAAGGCATGTTATATAAGGTCTACATATTTCCAGAGGAAAGAGATGTTTCAAATTTTAAGTTATAAGTCTATGTGCAATTAATTACAGACACTGTGGAGCTCTGGTCAGACTAAGCAAACATGTAAAGTACTTACTGGACTGGAATGACTGCAGCATTTAGTTAAATTATCACTGCTATTACTATTACTATGGCTATTACTAGCTTACTGGTATGCAGTTACAGTTTGCAAAGATTTGTTTCTTTTATTTTAAGGCCAAATGCTTGATTCATGAGTGTGGGCCATTGACTATTAATAAATTCCTAATATATGGTTGATAGAATGGGGATGGTGGTGCACTGGTTCAGTGTTTTCCCCTGCTAACTTTTGACTGGGCTTGGTGGGAAGCTCATAACAGATTACTCCCATCCCCTGGTTTAATAATATGTTTAAGTAGAATAAGGTGTTTTATATCTTTTTTTTTTTACAGATAATAAAGCATACAGGATGCACAGTGTTCACAATGTGTGGTTTCGATAAGTAAACAGTACAGAGTGAAACATGTGGCACCTAGCAAGATGGCAGCCATGAATCTCACCTACTGCTATCAGTGGCCATTCCAGTGTGTCTCAGTGGAAACATTCAAAGATGAACTGTTTTTAGTTTTGTGGCAACTGGTGAGCTTAATTTATATTATTAAATATGTAAAATGTGACTTTTTCAAAATGTAATAACATAATTTATAGCAGTGCTGATACTCACCCACAGCTGGTCTCTAAAAGACTGTCCCCCACCTGTAAGGAGGCCATGCCAAAGTCAGCAATACGAATGTTGTTCTTTTCATCCAGCAGCAAGTTCTCCGGCTTCAGGTCTCTGTGACTGCACACAGAAAAGTTACAGGTAATTATATTTTAGCTCAAATGTACATGAATGAGCTTGAAAATGTGTCATCAAGAGGTTTTGTTTAATTTAAATGAGAAGGCTTCAAATAGTCAGCAGAGTAGAGCCATTAGTGGTCCTACAAGCCTGAACTAAGAAGCTGTGTAAAAACCAACCAGATGGAATGACTGTGGCAGAAATCCAAAGCAGAGATGATCTGCCGGAAGAACTTCCTGGCCTCCTTCGGAGTTAGCCGACCCTTCTTCACCAGATAGTCAAAGAGCTCTCCCCCTGACACATGCTCCAACACCAGGTACCTGTCGACAAGCAAGGACAGAAAAAAAACGTTCATCTTAAACAGACAGGAAGTGGGGAGGAAATATTATGAGCTCTCATAATAATGACTTCCATTCGTTACACCAACCTCCTTAATGACAAGAGTATTTACATGAATTTACATTTAAATGTCAAATGTTTCTTTTTTTATATACCAAAAAATGTACAAGAGTAAAGTCTTCATGCTTAAGAGGCATTTTGCACGCATTTCTGGTTACCTTGTATAATATTTAAGTTATATCAAAGATGGAAAATTTGTAAAATAATCCACACACCAGGAAAAGCTCGTGTAAAACATTAAATAAATAATGTTTCAAGCACACTGCCCTACTTCAGACTACTAAACATTTTGTGTGCCAAGCTTCTATATTTATGTTTGAATACTAAATTTAAATGCAAAAAGATGGAGCCTGTACCCAAAAACTTTTGGTAGTCTGAAGAAGAGCAAAGTGCCTGAAACTTAACCATACTTGGTAAAAATTTGCATGAAAGTTGATGTGTGTATGAGTTGTTGTTTTTTTCTTACTTGCTATTTTGTGTGTTTTATATATACCGGTACTTAAAATACGTGTGATTTATTTTGATGTATTTCAATTTTTACATTGTCTTAATTTTATTAATAGCATCAAATTGTCTTAACAAATATTCTGTATTGAAAATAGCTCTTGGACAGTATGAAACTTTTTAAACTTAAGACACGTTTAAACTGGTCATCATCAACCATGCTACTCTTTCTGCCAAAAACAGTTGTGTTTTAACACCGTGAAAGGAAACAGGGAAGACTGAGCTTCTGATAAATGAGTTACTGAAAAGACGAGAAATTTTGTACCTTTGTTAAAGTATTGCAATAGCATGCAAGAAGTTCTTTTAAACGCCAAAGGAACTCACAGGTATTTGTTATTCTCATAAACATCATGCAGCTTCAACACATGCGGGTGCTCAATCAGTTTCAGAATGGCAATCTCCCTCTCAACCTAGTCAAACAAAAGAGACGGAGGTAAAGCACAGAGTAAAGACAGAGAGACAGTAAAGCAGAGGACACAAGCCAGTCAGTGAGATTTCTGAAGCGTCAGAAGTGAGGTCAACGATCTAACAGAGACGATGAATGTAGAGATAAGGTACAGTTTGTTTACAGCTTAACACAGCAGGCGGTATACAAATATAGCTCTGATATCGTCACAGTGAACAGCCACCTCAAAGGCGTCGCACCGTACCTTCATCAGGACTGACTCAGACAGCTTCTCTCTGTTGACTATTTTGATCGCTACCTTCTGAGCCGTGATACAGTGGACTCCAAGCTTGACCAGTCCTGACAGACAAAAGCAAGAGATGAAATAATAATTACTTTAAAAAAAAACAGATGCATGAGTGATTTTAAAATAGCATTGTTATATACGTGCATTAAAACTTCCATGAGTCCTCTCACCTGTCTGTCCCTTCCCCAGAGTCTTTTCCAGTCGGTAGGGCCCAACATATTGAGCAGACTGACCCAGAGACAGTTCCTTACTCATACTGCTCTTACTGAACACTAATACACAGCTATAACTAACACTGCACTGTGATTTTTGCAACTATTGTGATATTGTAGAGCTTACACAAAAGAGGTTGTGGGTCACAAACTTGAAGGGATGGCCTTTTGGACGAGGATAGCACAGCTAGTCCGAGTGTAACATGATAAAATGGTGAAAATGAAGCTAGTTCATCTAAGTCGAGCTAAATATTTCGTGTTCTGAACCACGCTTAACATGGCATTAATACTTGAGGGGACAGACGGCTGTTTTCTGCGTTAAATACCACACGACCCCACAAAATAAAACAATAGTTTAACTTATGTACATTAGCTTATATGTGTGTTGCATCTAGTCGGCGTAATGGCGTTAACTAGAAAACGCATAGCCAAAACAGCTAGTTTTACCTCCTCTGCTGCAGTGCTTTACGCTATTTGCTATTCACCTATACAAACAAAACGTCCAATGAATGTTCGCCCTGAAGATGAAATCACCGATATTTCCTCTGTTAGGCCTGTTTTACAGGTGTAACATGTTCTTTTAGCCGCTCTCCCACACAGCAGCGAGGCTCGCGTTAGCTTCCAACGCCTCGAGCAGCGGCCGCCTCGCGCCTGTCAAAATAACCGACGCCGCGTGAAGTTTCCGGGCATCGCCAAATGGTCGGTTTTATCAATCGGCCACCACATTCTCACGGTGTTTCGAGGGGAAATGCGCATTCCTGGCCGAACAACCATCTTTTAGCGTAGCGTAGTCCACCCCCTCCCTGCCTCTGCCAGCCTCTGCCTCGCTACATCACTGCAAGTAGCGGATCACAGCATCTTCTTCTCTCCCCTTCGGCGTGTCCTCCTCCGTCATCGGCGGATACACACAGGTGAAACAGCACAAATCAGCCCGCACCACTTCCAGCTGCCTCCTCCTCGCTTCTGATTACGGTTCACGCAAGGGGGGGAAAAAAGGCCTCTTGGACGATACTCCGTTTTCTTGCCGTAAATCGATATTTTCTCCTCTCTTCCTTCGGCCCATTCGCATCAGCATCCGGGTCTCGCTCTGCTCTCCATCCTCTCTCCTCCTGTCTCCTCTACCCCGCCCTATAGAGTTAGGCAGGCCGTTGGGACATATAATCAATTACATTCACACACACACACACACACACACACACACACACACA